GTGTTTTGCAGTCGATAACTTGCTCGTTACGTCCTCGCGTCTGCTCCAGAAACTTTCCCTAATGATGCGAGCAGTTGTGAGAATTTCATCCGCATTTCATCATCTAGCTCTGAGAAGTGCTCGGGTCAAACGTTTTCCGTGTCTATCAGCACTGTCTCTGTTTTCGGTCGTGATGACATGGCAACTTTGGGCATGGTTCTCAAGTGATTACCTGATGGTCGATGAACATCAGTCGGAAATTGCGTCAGGGCCTTTACCGAAATGCAACATGCCGGTGTTAACGCTGGACGATCCGCTAGTTCGCGAGTACTCCAACCCCGTCGCACCTATCAACTGCAGTCATGAAAAGAATTGGGTGTACTTGACCGATGGAAATATTTTCATGATTGCCACCGATGCCATAAAGAAGCACGGGCCAATACGGTGTTCTGCTACCAGTTACAAGCGCGTTTCTGATTTCACGATATTTGCTGCTCGCCACTCTTCTTTTGAACCGGGCCAAAAGATCCCCACTGACGTCATCGCTGTGGATTGCACGGCTGCTGACGGTTCGAGGTACAAAAACGTTCTCGCGGCTATTGTTCGAGACGAAGCTGTGCTAAGACGGGCGAAATCGAAAATTCTGCCGGCTGACGCTTTGGGACTGAACGTGTTCATCTTGGGATTTGACAGTATGTCGCGGATGATGTTCATGAGAAAACTGAAACGAACATACAAATTCCTCACTGACGACCTTCGAGCATTCGTCCTGAAAGGCTACAACATTGTTGGCGACGGAACGACGAAAGCCCTGACACCACTTCTGACGGGAAGCACGCAAACCGAGCTTCCTGAAACCCATCCAGGACATGAGAATGCCACCTACGTTGACGTTTATCCATTTATATGGAACGATTTCAAGGACATTGGCTATATCACGCTTTTTGGCGAAGACTGGCCCGGTTGCGGTACATTTTCAATGCGCATGAAAGGATTCAAGAAGCAGCCAACCGATCACTACCAGCGAACGTTTTACATTGCGGAAGAAGCAAGAAATAACAAGAGTAACCCCTACTGTATCGGCAACGAGCCCCATCACAAAGTGCATTTTGCGTATTTTCAAGATTTCGTCACCTCCTACCTCACAGATAAAGACCTACGTGTGTTCGCATTCTCTTTTCATTCGATTCTCAGTCACGACAGTTTCGATTACATTGAATTTGCGGACGATGACACGGTTCAGCTGCTAAAATTTTTGCGAGGTAAATTTCTTTTACAATCAGCAAGTAAAATATATCTTCGCAATGCTGAGTGCATCTGTACGTATGAGCAGTATTTGAGGCGAGAATCTGAGACACGCAAAACTAATGCTGCTCTAAGTATAATTCGTTTCTGATGTTGGTGAGAGAAATAACGTTTCTGTTCGAAGACAATCGATAAGTTTTTCGTGTTGTTTATTTTTGTTCCTCATGTCTTTATGCAACGCGAAAACAATTAGTAAATTATTTTCGCCATCAGTCCATCCCCTCTTCTTTTAAAGACCATGCCTCGTTCATACGTCTGTCCGTCAGTCAATATATTCGTGCAATAATCATATATACATTTTCATCGCACGCCATTCGTGGAGGCAGAAGTTTCAGGAAAGCGTTTATAGTCTGGTTGATCCGACGAATGTGCACGCTTTAGATTTGGAATGTCATGACAGCACGGTTTCGATTTCCCACTATATCGAGTCGCTTACAGTATGAAATGTTCCTTGTCCCCTTGCCGTGCCCTTTTGCCAAAGAAGTTCACCTTCCAAGTCTTTATTTCGATATACCGATGCTGTGCTTGTGCCAATACAATTGCGGCTTCGATTTAAAGAAGTGATTCACAATTATAACCATGTTTTATCGCTATTTATGCACAGGAATAATTGGGTAGTCACATGATAAACTAACGGTATAAAAATTAAGATTCCGGTCAGGTTCGCTACAAGTTCCAATGAGTCGTGCAAAATTAGCTTAGGGACTATAAGCCCAAATACTCAAAAACATAGTACGATGTAGAAAGGTTAAAATATGGTTAATTAATTTTATGGAAAGCTTCACGATTAATCGTTAACTGCACTAATCTACGTAAATGCTAACATTTCATTGCCCACACGTTTCGCTATGCATGCCGTATTATCCTCATGGCACAACGGATACCCGTTATCTGTTAGTGCTGTTGTCATGTGTGTCCGTGACGCCGCTGCGTAGAGAAACGTGTTGGCAAAAAAGGCTGTCATCTGCCTTGCATCATGCTCTCGAACATGATCAGCAAACTATGGACAGTTTCGGCAACGGGCTAAGAATCGTAAAAATAATGTCATTTTCAGATTAACGTCAATGTTTGAATGGGACTAAAATAAACTCATCCTTTCAGCACCAATAATATCGAGGACTACTGAAAGTTTTCCGTTTCCTCTTGGCTAAATTTTGGCGTTCTTCAGTGATTGGCATATTCTTTACTCATCGCATAGAGTAGAATTGAAATTTGTCTTTGGACATTCTAACAACCTGTTGATTATGAGGGAGGGAATAATCAGCAGCAATCTCAAGCGAAGAGTGTTCACTTCCAATTCGTTCATTGTTTGTAAGTGATCATTTTATAACATAACATTTCGTAAAAACTTGCACTTTTAAGATAACGGCTACTTGGAAAACACCATACTCATGTTCATGTCTGATCATGGCCAACGAATGGCAGACTACAGACAGACCGAGCAGGGCAAGGTTGAAGAACGTCTTCCGTTTTTCAGCATTTACCTACCACCAGCATTCAGGAAGAAGTATCCAAATGCTGTAAAAAATCTTCGTCTGAACGTCAAGCGCCTCACAACACCGTTCGACATCCACGCCACCATGCGTCACATGATCCATTTCACCAATCCCAAACGCGGCTCCCTATTGCAGAGAGGGATTTCCTTGTTCGACGAAATTCCCCTTGAGCGATCGTGCGCTGATGCAGGGATCGAACCCCATTTCTGCGCCTGTGTCCCTTGGTTTAACGTGGCAGTGGATGATCCGGTTGTGAAGCGCGTTGCAGCGGCAGTCGTCAGCAGGATCAACGAACGTACTGCCAAAGCAAGAAAATTCTGTGCAGAATTAAGCTTGTCGACGATAATCAAGGCTTCGGATGCAGTGGTCAGTGAGATAGTGATGAAATTTAAGAAGATGTTGGATTCCGACGGTCTCAAACCAGATCTGAGCGGTACCGACAAAGCTATGGATAAACATTATCAAGTGCACATTGTCACGAAGCCAGGTGATGCACATTACGAAGCTTCTGTTGCAGTTAGAAAAGGGAAGGAGGTCCTGGTCGACCTCGAATCTGTTTCTCGCATCAACTCGTACAAAGCACTTTCCCACTGCATCATGGACAAGGACGTGTATTTGGCGAAATGGTGTGTGTGCTATGACCGGATATCTTAACGAACTCATTGTATTATTTGAGAATTTCATTAAACGAGTGTTTCTTAAATTGCTTGAGTAAAATATTTAGTATCGTGTGATTTGATTTTGTTCTGAGTGTTTCTCAGCATAAAAGATTTGAATAAAATCTCTGCTTCTATTAATGTACGCCATATGCATATGGTATTGTCAAAATGACATTTTGATGAGAGGGATGCTGCAACTCAAAAATCAACGAAATCTACCTCAGATCTTCAATGCGGAGTTATTTGTCAAACATTGTTTCAGCATCATTAACTTCCGGAAATCCTCCACACCGCCGCGCCAGTCGCCTTTATCGAATCATCGTGGAGTGAATATGGGCTTTCTTTGAGTTTGTAGCACTGCGCAGAATTGACACGGCTCGAGCCAGCTGATATGCTTTCCAAAATCATCAACGATGTGCTTCTTGAAATCAGAGACCTGGCACCAGGTTTCAAAACTCGCTCGAATAGAAACAATGCAATGAAGAAAAATGCAAGCTTCGATTGCAATCTCAGTGATTTGTTGTAATTACATAGTCCCTCAGGATTGCCTTTGAACGCTTGAGGTGGCACGGGACAATTGACCAAGAATTCCCTTGAGCAAAAAATTTACTAGTGGATGCTCACTTAGTAATGCGTTGAGATCAGAATCGAAAGATCACAATTTGAACACCCATCTGACTTGATCGCTCATTTTCTGTCAAGACTGATGAGTGAGAACCACCTTGCAAGAAGGAAACAGCAGACTAACACTATGCATTAAAAAGGAGTTACTGTCGACTCTGACTTGAAAATATTGAACTCCTGGCCGATGATATGGGAGTGGAAACCGAGCTTTTATCGTGAACTTGATAAGGAAAACCGCTCCAGAAATAAAGCATTCATAAATGTGCAAGGAGGATTTCTGATGAGTCAAACGATCCGACCTTCTGTGGATTCTGTTTCTTTGCTGCTATCAGAGAAAGGCAGAAACAAGAGTTATCATGCAAAATGTCATTAAAATATGATTTTATCATGGTCATGATAAGAAAATGATTATGTTTTGGAGGGTGCAGCTGAATTGACAGTTGTTAATCCGCTAATCATGGTTCGTTCGACATTATGTATGTTGAATGTAAATGCACTGGAGACTTCCAGATGTGGTGTGGAAAATAAGTGCCTCGAATCTTTCGGACTGACCTGAAAAAACAACCTTTGGGATCATAACTCAACATTTCCTTCTAAGAAGTTTCTAAATAGTACCGATTTCTCAAGTATTTCCTGGAGATCAAGTCGCGGAAAGAGGGAGACAACAAACGTCGATAAGCTAACGAGGCTAGGCTTATTGTGGCCAAAAAGCTCATGCTTTTGAGGCAGGTGCATCACGCGACAGACGATCAAATTGACAAACTCGCAAGATTTGCAGGCAATCGCCCTCTCAATCTGCGCAGAATTGACTTTAAGATTTTACGGAGGTGGTGTGATCTGCCCTCGTAAGAAAATTGATTTCAACTGCTTCGAAACTGAGCAAAAGACTGAATGATGCTAATTAGACGATATTTTGGAAATCAAAATCCTTCACGTCATTTGATAGCCAAGACCTTGAAATTAGACATTCAACTTGTTAATCTGGTTCGATCGAGAAATACGACAGTCTGAACTTGTTTTGCGCTGGCATTGCCAGTTAACCTGGCAACAACCGAGAATATAAGAAAGAACGAAAAGGAACTCAAAAGGTCAAATACGAAATCGGCAATGCATGTGAACCAAGATTGCTAGCAACAGCTTGTTTTTCGTCTGGAAAGACACGAGTGCTGCCTGAAGAAGTGGAGCGCCAAAACTGTATGTAATTGGAATCTTCTCTAACAAAGAAAAGAACGCGATTCCGCATATCCAATGTCTAAGAAATGATTCAGAGCTCGCCTGCGATGACTAGCCACGAGGAAAGAAGTTGTACGTTCAAGCTGAGACATGAACAGTTGACTCTTTGGCAAGCATAGCCATCCATCCGCAGGGACATACTACGAATCCTCCACGAACTTATGCAGCCTTCCAAATGATTGAGGATGCCACAGAAAGAGACACTGTCTACAAACGACCTCGTTTATTCGCGCACTCTCCTATCATGACTTTCAATGTTTGCTTGATCACTCCGTACCGCTTTTACTTTTCTGTCAGTTTCGCTGAGTTGGTTCTCCGTCACAAAAATTACGTCTCAGG